AAAATATGAGAAGAGCTTTTTGTTCAAAATGTGTAGCTAATGAATTGAATTTTAAGGATTATTTCCCAAAATTTAGGTCTGTGTTAGCCTATTGATTGGTTTTTTTTTTTCCTATTGATTGTTTGTTTGTTTGTTTTTGTTTTTCTTCTGGTACCAGGAATCGAACTCATGACCTTGCACTTCCCAGGCAGGTGCTTTGCCGCTGAGCTAAATCCCCAGCCCCAGCCTATTGATTTTTATGTGTAGCTTTAAAAATATTTGAAAATACTATTTATTTGTGTTTTGTAATTTCCTATCCTGTGACAGTTCTATGCTGTGCTTTTTTAAAAAAGGCCAAATTCAAGATTGAAAAAAGAACATAAAAATTAATCATAGATCATACACTAGATCACAAATATTTCATAAAATATAAATATTGCATACCATATTTTGTAGTCACAATGCAGTAAAACTAGAAGTGAAAAATGTAAACAAAAAAGACCCTTTTATCTAGAGCTAGAATATCTTCTAAACTCTGGGGTAAGAAGAGATATACAAAGAAAAATTACAAGAGTTCTGAACATAATGAAAACACTGCAAATCAGAATCCATGTAATTCTGTTAAATACCACCTCTATTAATAAAAATGAAAGTAAGTGAATTCAAAACTCAAAAACATAGAAGAAGCAGCAAAATAACAACAAAAAGTTACAAGTGAAATTAATGGAGAACAGAAAAATAATAGATCAAATTAATCAAAAGCCCAATTCTTTGAAAGACTGAACCATTAACAGAGTTAATCAAAACAATAAAGACATGCACAAAAATGAGAAATGACAAACGTGAAATAACAGTACAGAGCAGTCTCAAAGACTGAGACTACTTTGTCTCTATGCAAATAAATTTAAAGCCTGTAAAGAAATGGATAATTTCTTGGCATATATAGTTTAGTAAAACTGACCCAGACCAGTTCCTATAGACAAAGTTGTCAAGGAATTATTTCACACAGAAATGCCAGACACAGATAATTTCTGTAGATTTCTAACAGCTTCAGAGATCAGAAAGGTAGTGCTAATGCTGTACACAGTATTTCAGAGCCATAATGAAAGACTTCCAAAAAAAGTCTGAATGAAGTACAACATTGTTACCTAAAATATGTAAAACTTGATGGAGGTAGTGTCCAAAAAGGAAATTATAAACTTACAGCATTTAGTGAGCAATGATTCCAAAGTCTTACATAGTAAGGTACAAATTTCAGCATGTTAAAAAAATAAACCACAACCAAGTGAGTTTTGATAGCAGGAATATAAGGTTGGCTCCACGAAATTGAGATGGATATCACTCTAAAGACCTTATGATTATCTTCGTGATGAAACCTTCAGCAAAACTCTACATCTATTTCTAATAAAAATTTGAGAGAACGGGAATAGGTGGCTAGTTCCTTGTTTTTTCTTCCGGTACCGGGAGTCAAACTCACAACCTTGTGCTTGCCAGGCAGGCGCTGTGGCGCTGAGCTAAATTCCAGCCCCCGGCTATTTCCTTAACAAGATGCAGTGTAGGAAGCTAAGTCCTATCTATTGTTAGCACCTAAAGGGAAATCCTAAAGGCATTGCCAGGTAGTCCAGGAACAGCGACGTGGTCCCTACTACTGCTACTGTTGATCTGGTTCTGGTCTGCTAGCTAACACAGATAGCCTGGAGAATGCCGTTGGTGGCGTAAGAATAGAAAAAGAAGCTATAAAACCATCTTTTTCAGGTGACAAGATATGTACCTGGAAAACCCTAGAGAACTGTGATAAAATCATCTATTAACAGTTCATAACGCACTTGTGTAAATATTGCATTGTTTCTCTGGTGTGAGAAACTGAAAGTGTAAATAAGGATCCAAAATGTATAGTAGCTATTGTGAAATAGGAAGAAAATGTTCAAATGGGAAGGGGAACTTTATGGAGGGGTATGGGGGAGGAAAGGAAAGGAAAGGAATTGATAAAAGAAGGAAAAAATGGAAACAAAGCTTTTATAAATTACGACAGGGAGAGGAGTTGAAGGGAAGGTAGGAGAATGGGGAGAAAAAAAAAAATTTAGTTATATCATGTACAGGTACAAATTCCCTATGATGAATGTGATCATTAGGTATACCTAAAATGTACCAATCAGTTTAATTTTAAAAACCCAGCTCGTTAAGGTAGCAGAATATAAAATTAACATGCAAAAATTAATAGTATTCATATACATAAAATAACTAGTTAGAAAAACAGTGAATGAGAAAGACTATTTACGGTAGCAACCAAGAAGACAAAATAGGAATAAATTTATAAAATGTCAAGAACTCATATGAGTAAAACTAAAACACTTTTTTTTCTTTTTTTCAAGATAGAGTCTTGAAACTGTGAACTATGTAGTTCCCATTGGCCTTAAACTAACTATGGAGCCCAGGCTGGCCTTGAACTTGGCGGCAACCCTCCTGGCTCAGCCTCCCACGTGCTGAGATTACAGATGTGCACCACTATTCCCTACCTAGATCCTGTGTTCTTGATCAGAGAGTCTCATTGCTATCTAGATGTCAGTTTTCCCTAAGTTAACTTGTAAATTTAATGCAGTGTTAGAAATTCTAATGAATAATTTTGTGGAACTAGGTAAGCTGATTGAAAATTTCTTGGGAAACACACAGGAACAATTGGAAAAACATTGAAAAGTTAAGTTTTGAGGGAGAATTAACCCTACCAAATACCAAACACTATAAGAACCTTTATAATTTTTAAAAATTGCTTTTTTATTAGTACATGTTTGTAGTACATAATGATTACATTCATCATGAGGAGTTGGTACATGTATAAAATAGATTATTTTTACTTCCTTTCCTAAAAAGCTTTATAGTTAGTGGTATAGTATGGCCGGGCGTGGTGGCACACACCTGTAATCTCAGCACTCAGGAGGCTGAGGCAGGAAGATCATTGAGAGTTTGAGACCAGCCTACTTTGAGCCTACAAAGTGAGCTCAAGGCTAGCCTGAACTGCCTAACAAGACCCTGTCTCAAAAAGACCAAAAAGAAAAAGAGTGGTACAGTAATGGTACATCAATAGATGAGTAGACAATGGAATAGAATAGAAAGAACAGAATAGAATGGATAGACTAAATAGAGGGGTAAAACAGAAAATCTAAATAGTCCAGCTACATGTGAACTGTAGAATATGATAAAACCCTATTTCAAAATACTGAGGTAAAGGTGGACTTTGATAAATGTTGGGACAACTAGATAAGCATTTGGGAAGAAAATACGTAAAAAATTAGATTTCTTCACAATATTCAGGAGTAAGCTATAAATCAGTCTGGTCTCTACATGTAGAAAACATCAAATTCCTCTTTAATATCAGTGCAGGAAAAACTTTCTGAGTACAACTTGAAATCTTAAGTGCAGTAAAATACTGATAAATTTTCTACATATAAATTTGAAAGAAAGAAAAACATGTGAAAATTTGCATGGCCAAAATATAAGCAGAGTCAAAGACAAATGACAGACTTGGAGAAAATATTTGCAACATATCACAGGTAGAAGTTAATATCCTGAATAAATAACAATAACTGAGGAGAGAAAAGATTTAAAAATTTTATAGAAAAAAAGCCAAAACTCTGGGGAAAACAATCTTATAAACACAAAAGTGGCCTTAAGCATAAGAAAATATGCTCAACTTCACTTGCAGTAAGAGAAATATAAAGCATACTGTTTCCCATCAGATTAGAAAAACTGAACTACTTGACAACACACCTTTGGTGAGGTTAGGAGGAAACAGGCACTCAGACTTGCAGGTAGGAATGCTGTTGGAGGGTCTCGACAAGGAGTCGTTATACTTTCATTATGTGATTTAAGAGGGGAGAGATGGACTCCAGTGAGAAAGACCATGCTCACTGCATAAGAGATGAAATCCATGATTTTATTCCCTGTGTACATGACTGTGTCCAGATTTCCCCTTTCTGTGAGAACATCCGTCATATATTGCATTAAGACCCACCCTGATGACTTCAGCTAATTATATCTGCAGCTGTCTCATTACAAATAAGGTCACAGTGTGAGGTACAGGGTTTAGAACATCAGTACGTAAAGTTTGAGTGAGACCCAATTCAACTACGATGCCTCTTCTGCCACTTGCTCTTGGCCACTACCATCTAATTGGAACACAGCAATCTCCTAAGAGGTATCCCTGTTTCACTGTTCAGTCTCCCATAACCATTTTTTTTTGTTGTTGTTGTTTTGGGGTTTTTTTTTTTTTTTGGTCTTTTTTGAGACAGGGTCTTGATATGCAGTTCAGGCTGGCCTTGAGCTCACTTTGTAGCCCAGGCTGGCCTTAAGCTCTCAACAGTCCTTCTGCCTCAGCCTCCAGAGTGCTGGAATTACAGGCATGTGCCACCATGCCTGGCTTTATAACCCATTCTTTACACAGCTGCTAGGATTGCTTTCTAATATCTGTCATATCCTCTGTGTTACCTCACAACCAGCTTTTTCTCACCCCTTACGCATCTGCTTCAATGTCATCTACCTCACAAGCTTTGACCACATTAGCTGAAGCTGCCTTCCTTTTTTAAATTCTTGTCTAGCTTGGCCTCTTGTTTCTTTTACAGAATTTTTTCTGCTTTTTACACTTGATCTTAGCCAAGTGGCCAAGAAGCAGTTTTTTCTACTTTTTTTTGATCACCCTTTCCCCTCCTACTGTTCTGTTATCCACAGTCATGCCTGTATTAACTACAAGTATTCATTGATGAAGATAGGTCCCCCAGGTACGGGACAGTGAAGTGTGTAGTACTGATCAGGTACTCAGTTGTAGGGTGAATGTCTGAATAGATTTTAGTATTGACAGTCCAGGATCCTATTAAGACTTATCATGCTCTATCTAAACAGGTTATGTATTTGTAACATGTAGGGCCTGTGAATGTTCTAACAGGTGTGTGCCTTTGCGTTCAGAGTGTTTAGGTCATTGAGGTAAAGGAGCTGTTCTCTGAGATCTGTAGCTTTTTCTTTGATTGCAGGTGACTGGTCTTCTTCAGAAGGAGGCAGTAAAAGGAAAAGCCACTGGAGCACTCCTGAGAGCCATCTTCAGAGGTAATAATTAATTTTCATTCCATGTCACTGGATTCATTGGTAGATTTGTTTACATTTGGCATTGTTTTCTTACGGTTTGAGCCCCACTGGAATACTTTGTGTTTTGGGAATTCTACAGAATCAACTAAAGCAGCAGTTTCCTTTTTTTTTTTTTTTTTGCAGTGCTGGGGATCGAACTCACGACCTCGCGCTTGCCAGGCAGGCACTTATGCCACTGAGCTGTATCCCGAGCCCAAATTTGTTTTTTTTTGTTTTTTTGTTTTTTGTTTTTGTCCGGTACTGGGAATCGAACTCACAACTTTGAGCTTGCCAGGCAGGCGCTGTGCTGCTGAGCTAAATCCCCAGCCCCTTTAAAGCAGCACTTTCCTGTCTAGGATACTTAAGTGTTTTGCTAACTAGAGTTGGAGTGGTTATCTGAGCTTATGTGGCTGATTTTAGAGCCTATAAAGAATGTACTTTGCATAAAATATGTTTTGGTTTCCCTGTATTTATAAAATTGTGATGAAGAATGCTGGGCGGGGTGGCACATACCTGTAATCCAAGCACTTGGGAGGCTAAGGCAGGAGGATTGTTGCGATTCAAGACCAGCCTGGGCTACAAAGTGAGTCCAAGGCCAGCCTGAGCTACATAGTGAGACCCTGTCTCAAAAAGTCACAAAAGAAAAAAAAATTGTGATGAAGAGACCACAGTACTTAGTACTTAATCTATGCTTGACACAGAGGAGCAGCTCTGGGGTTGAGTAAAATGAAATCTCTTGGGCCCCTTATACAGATTCTTAATTCCCAGCAAGGCATATTTATTTCTTTCTTGAACAAGGGCCAGTTCTTTGGTATTCACATTGTGACTCACAGTGGTTTTATAAATTGAAATAGTATGAAATTCTACAGGGTAAAAATGAAAAGCGCCTTTGGACTCACAAAGCATGTTAACTTGGTTTTCTTACCCTAAGAAAATTGAGAGCAAAGATGATAGTCTTCCTAGCTGGGCCTGGTGGCACACACCTGTAATCCCAGCACTTGGGAGGCAAGAGGATCACCTTGAGTTGGAGGCCAACCTGGGCTACATAGTGAATCCAGGCTAGCCTGAACTAATAGCGAGACCCTGACTCAAAAAAAAATAAATAGGTAGTCTTCTTCGTATTCATTAAAAAGAACTTCCAAAATGAGTTGATTTAACTGTTACGGGAACTTGCTGAATATTTTGTGGGTTTGCAGGTGGCAGCTGCCTATATACTAAGTAGAAGAGATAAGAATAGTTTATTTCTTGGTCAGATAAATCTGTACAAGTTACAGTGGCTACCATTGTTGTTACTAACTATATTTAGAAGCATAGATTTGGAAAGCCTAGCTTAAAAGTATCATGAATTATCAAGTATAGTATTTATGGAGACTACAGTGTCTTCTCATCATCTCAGTCCTGTTAAGTTAATTGTGTATATGACCAATAGTTAATGTCGACATTGTAAAAATTGGTGTATCCACGTACCAAAAAATTCATCCTCTTTAAAGTATTCAGTTGTGTTTTTGTTTTGTTTTGTTTTATTTTGTTTTATTTTACAGTAGTAAGGATTAAATCCAGGGCCTCACACATGGTAGCTAAGTACTCTGCCACTGAGCTATGTCCCAGCCCTTTTTATTTTTATTTATTTTATTTTGAGACAAGGGCTCACTATCTTACCCAGGCTGGTCTCAAACTTGGGATCACCCTACTTCACCCTTCTAAGTAGCTGGGATTATAGATACATGCCATTATGCCTGGCACAGTTTTTTAAAATTGAGATAATTCACATATAGTTCATCCACTTAAAGTGTACAGTTCATTGGCTGTTAGTATAATCATGAGTTGTAACATTTTCATTACTCCTAAAAGAACCACTAGCTTTGTGCCACTAGCTATCCGCTCTCTAACCCCCAGTCACTCCCTGCAGTAAGAAACCACTGCTCTCCGTTCTGTCTGAACTACTCTCTTGCCTATTCTGAACATTTCATGTAAATAGAACCTTTCTATATGTAGTTCTCTGTGACTGACTTAATTCACATTGTTACCAAGGGAGATCCATATTTGTAGTATTGTAGTATATGTCTTTTTACTGCCACCATATGGATATATTGCATTTTTCCATTGATGAATTGAGGCACATACAGGTTGTTTCTGCCACTATAAATGATATTACTATGAACATTTGTGTTTTTTGTGTGAACATGTGTTTATTTCTGAGTATATATCTAGGAGGAGAATTGCTGGATCATAAGCTGTTTAACTACCAGTTATCCAGAGTGGCTCTTTGAATTTCTCTATATCCTTTTCAACACTTGTTACCTGTTTCTCTTTTTGTTAATTCAGGCCTCCAAGAGTGAGTCTGGAGTGGTGTCTCTTGGTTTTGGCTTGCATTTCTGTGATGGCCAATGACATACTTTTTTCCATGTGCTGACTGGCCATTTGTATACTTTGAAGAAGTGTCAAATCACATGCTTGGTGCTTAAAAATCAGATTGCCTTTATTTTTATTTTGAAACAGGATCTTACTAAGTCACTAAGTTGCTCAAGTTAGGTTTTAACTTGCAGTCCTGCACTAACCTCCCAGAGTGCTGGGATTATAGATGATTGCCTGGCCAGTTTGTTGGTTTTTTTCTTCTTCTTTTGATGTCATATCTAGTAGACCATTATTTAATCTAAGATCATGAGGATTTACAGCTCTCTTTCATTTCAGTTAATTTTTGTATCTGTTGTGAGGTAGAGGTTTGACTTCATCCCTTTGTGCCTGTGGCACCTTTGTAAAAATCAATTGCCTGTTATCAAAAGGGTTTATTTCTGGACTGTCAGTTCTGTTCCCTTGTCTGTATGTCTTTCTTTATGAGTACCACTCAGTCTTTTAAGGATTGTTTTAGATATTGTGACTCCATTTCCATGAAAAATTTTAAGATAAGCTTGTTGGTTTCTTAAAAAAAAAAAAGCTGAAGTTTTGTAATGATTGTGTTCAATCTATATGAGTTTGAATAACATTGCCATCTTAATGTAAATCTTATATGAACATATAATATCTTACCATTTTCAAGACTCTTGGGCTAGAGGTGTGACGGCAGCAGGTTGAAATGCTACAAAGCTTGCCTTTCTTACTATGATTCAACAATTTTTCTTGAATTAATACTACTTTGATTGTTGAAAGCCTTTGGTTAATTTCCACAGTTTTTTTTTTTTTTTTTTTAAGACAGTCATGCTCTGTAGTTCAGGATGGCCTTAAGCTTACTCTTTAGCCCAGGGTGGTTCATATGGAGATCCTCCTGCCTTAGCTTCCCAAGTCCTGGGATTACAGGTGCATGGCACATACCTGGCTAATTTCCACAGTTTGAACAAGTTGATTTTGGCTATTTTGTCAGTGTTCTCATCTTTTATGGAGAAGAGGAATTTGCACAATCTTTACTACTCTGCCCTTCTAGTTGAAGTCACTTAGTAGGTTCACCATGGAGCTGTAATTTGTATGTCTTGGTGCCTGGCTACTCTGATTTGAATGTGTTACATTCCCACTGGTATACCTGCATGACTGTCCCATCTCTTGGTTCAGACTACCTGCTGGGACAGTCATGGATATACCACCAGTGGTTCAAGCTGGCAAGAGATAAAGTATGTTACCAGGGAGATGTGGCTCAGTGGTAGAGCATTTGTCTAGCAGAAACAAGGCCCTAGGTTCCATCTGTAGTGCTGGAGAAAAAAGGAAAGAAAGTATGTTAAAGCCACTAAATTTGGGTTATTGCCTGTAATCCCAGCATTCGGGAGGCTGAGGCAGGAGGATGGCGGCAAGTTTGAGGCCAGCCTGGGCTATAAAGTGAGGTCAAGGCCAGCTTGAACTGCATAGTGAGACCCTGTCTCAAAAACACCAAAAAAAAATTTTTGGCAGGGGGGTTATTGAACACCTGCCTCCAAACTCTAAGATATACTAGAGTGTCTTCCTGTTCTATATAATTATTAAAATAGTAAATGAAAAAAGAAAGGACATTTTAGTCTCTTCATTCAGGGTGAATTAAGCACTTTATTTAGAGCCCTATGTATCACTGTTCTAAATACCATATTAATCAGAAGTTTAATAATTATTTCTTAATTGCACTACAAACCTGTTTGTTTCTCCTATTTAACCTTCAATCTTGTAAAACTTCTTCCTTTTTTTTTGTTCTTTACCACTTGTTTAAAACAATAAGGTTCCCCTTGCTCTGAAGAAGATGGAGCCCTTAGGAGACATAAGATATATACTTGTTGTATCCAGTTAGTTGAATCAGGAGATTTACAGAAAGAAGTAGCATCTGAGATCTTAGGATTACTAATGTTGGAGGTAAGATGGGAGATAAAACCTAACTTGTTTCAGGGTAGACTTTTGGATGGTTTTAATTCATTGAGGGAAAACTTAAATGCCAAATCCAGCATAGTTCTTTTTTTTTTTTTGCAGTACTGGGGATTAAACTCATGACCTTGTGCTTACCAAGCAGGTGCTTATGCCACTGAGCTATATTCCCAGCCCCTAGCATAGTTCTTATTTGTGAAGAAGAGCTATTATTAAACAACAGAAAAGTGGGTGGAGTGTAAACCCCTTATATGAATACATCACTTTTAAGGAACCATGAATATAAATCTCCTTTAAATGTTGACATGTTTGAAAATGTTGCGGAACTGATGGAAGATTGTAGCCTTGAAGTCCTTAACGATACAAATGTGTAACAGAATAGCATGATTCCATGATTCCATTAGGGCTGTTCTGTGACTTAATATCAATTCAATAATTTCACCGTGACTTATTTCTTGGGAAGAGATATGAAACCTTGGTTTCCTGCTAAAGGTTTTTTATGTCCCTTGAACTCTTAGGCCCACCATTTTCCAGGACCATTATTGGTTCAATTAGCCAATGAGTGTGTTGATGTTATCAGAGAGGGAGGCCTGCTGAATGGAAAATCTTTGGAGTTATTGCCCATCATTCTTACTGCCTTGAGTACCAAAAAGGAAGATATGGCTTATGGAAAAGGTAATTTTCTTCCAATTTTAGTAGTTTTTTCTCTATTCACATAATCAAATTTAATACTCAGTGTATTTTGCATTTCTAGATAAATTGAGTGGGGAAGAATGTAAGAAGCAGTTGATTTACACCCTCTGTTCTGCAAGGTGAGTCTTTCTCATTAGGGTACAGAATTTTTTCAAGACTACAAGTAGCCCAAAAAGGGCTGGGGATGTAGCTCAGTGGTAAAGTGCTTGCCCGGCATGCACAAGGCCCTGAGTTCAATCCCCAGTACCACAAAAAAAAAACAAACAAACAAAAAAAAAACAAATAGCCCAGAAAGAAACTACCATTCATTTCAAGAAATTTGTATTTGTGAAGTTTTTAGTCCGGTTTGTTTATTTAGAATATACTACCATAAAACCATAGAGTCTGTGACAAATTTTTGAGAAGTTATTTGCTAGATACATTCTCTGCTCTAAAACTATAGTTTCAATTCACTTCACTGTCCATCTTCACTTAGTAATGTACTTCTCTAAACATGACTTAGAATCCCAAGGTCTTTAAGGTTAGGGAAGTTGCCCTGCTGCTGTGTCTTTTTTTTTTTTTTTTGAGGGAGTAGAATATATCAGTGATGTTATTATCTTTTAACCAGTGATTGTATTTCTGGGAGTATATGTAGACCAAACTGCAGCATAGGAGAAGATGTTCAGCAAGCCATAGTGGCACATGCTTATAGTAATTCTAACATGTAGGGAGATAAGGCAGGAGGATCACAAGTTTGAGCACAGCCTTGGCTGCTTAATGACTTAATGAGACCCTGTCTCAAAAGAAAAGAAAAAAAAGGACTGGGGATGTACCACAGTGGGAAGGCTCTGGGTTCAACCCCTTGTATGACACACACACACACACAAATGCTCATTTATGAATATATTCAACACAGATTTATGATCAGTACAAGCATACAGTAATAAACACATGTAATAAATTATAGTATGTAAGTTAAAGGAGAGCCACTCCATGAAATTTGTTACCCATTAAAAATGAAATGTATAAGCTGGGCATGTGGCTCATACCTATAATTCCAGCACTCTGGGAGACTAAGACAGTAGGATTGCATGTTCAAGTCCAGCCTGGGCAATGTAGTGAGACTCTGTCTCAAATAAATGAATAAATACATACATGCATACATACATGGGCTGGGGATACAGCTCAGTGCAAAGTTCAAAACTCAATACCCTCCCAAAAAAGAAATGGATAAAGACATACATCAAAGATGAAAATTCTATATATATATTTTATACATATATATA